AGTGCCCTGCAGGCACAGCCAGAGACAGGGCAGACCTAGGACAGCAAGAAGTGAGAGACGGAGAGAGAGAGAGTGAGTGAGAGCCAGCAGCCCAGGGTAGCTAGAACAAGGAGCTAAAGGAAGGGAAGGGAGGATGGGCAGGACTAGGGTCCCTCAGCTTAAAGTCAGAAGGGAGCACCCTAAGAGTAGGGATCCAGAGCAGGCCAATCCAAAGAACTTGAGGATTCCCTCCCTTTCCCTGGGTCCTCCCTCCCAGTAATCCAGGCTGGTGATCATGGCGGGGACATGCAGGGCAGGACCCAGTAATTGCTGGGCATTGAGCGATGCTGGGATGAAAAAGCTGGGAAAGGGACTTGGAAAGATCTTGCCCCAAGGGAAGGTAGCTGGTGTAATCAAGGGCTTCTCTGTCTTCACCTGAGGTGGGCGGGCTGCAATTCCCCCTTACCAGGTGTTCTGGCCCAAGCTCGGTCAGGGGCTCCTCAATGTGAACATATTGGAAGGGTAAAGCCCCAGCCAATGGACAAAGGGCAGGACCTGGGTGCCTCTCACTTGAGTGCACCTGCCCTTTCTTGGGGAAGGATGCTGTTCCTAGGGAGATGGCCTCCCAAACACAGAGTGAGAGGACACGTTGTCAGATGGGATGATGGTAAATGAAGATAGGGCTGGGGTAGAGGGCAGGTCTGGGAAGTAGGAAGGGGCAAAGAGAAGGGATAGGGAAATTGGGTAGGGACCTAAGGACAAAGGGCCGTTTCCAGTCTCTCTCACTCCTTCTCTCAGTTCCAGGAAAATAAGAAACCAAAACTCCAAAAATAGAGAACTTTATTGTCAGGGATAAGTGTTTGGGACTGGGGAAGGGGAGCCAGGACCCAGCCCCAGGAGCCTGGGGTGGGGAAGAGGCTAACACAGCACACACAGAAGGCACAAATAGGGAGGCCCCCCCCGCCCCGGACAGAGCCCTACCCAGTTACCCAATAGGACCCCAGGTCTCCCTGTTTCCCTTCTAGAGAAGCACCAATAGGTGGTCTCAGCTAGAGACCCAGCTTTGGAGTAGACTTCATCTTCCCTTCCCTTCCCCCCTTCTGCCTCCACCCCTTCTGCTCATCTGCCCATCAGCCCCCACTGGCAAGACCCAGCAGCTGGGTCTAGTGTCTTGGGAATTGACAGTCACAGGCCTCTCCCAATTGGGAGGGGGCAAGGAGGAGAATGCCACAGAGCACACACCCTCCCTCAATTTTCACTCAGTCTAACCCTCTGTGCCTGGGCAAGGCAGCAGGGTCATCACCAAGGCCCTGGCATCCCCAGATCTTTGGTCCCACCTCCCACCACTGGCTTGCGTTGGCCCCTATGGGCTGAGGAGCGCACAGGTCTGATCCACCTGCCCCGTCACTCCCATACCTCGGTCCAGATGGCTCCGTGGTAGGGGTGGGGTAGAGGCCGGGGTGTGCTGAGCCGCAAGGGCTGGCCTACCTGCTTGCTGGGGTATTTGGGGGGGTTGGTGCGGTAGCTGTAGTCGGAGTACTGCTCAGAGCCCGTGGATGTGGTGTCACCAGTGCCCACAAATGTGTTTGCGGGTGGCAGGTCCTGCACCACTTGGTGCTTCTTGGAGGCAGAGGGTGACTGGGGCTGCAGCTGGATGGAAGGCAGTGGGGAGTTCGAGCGGTAGTGGCGGCCCAGGTCAGGGCTGCCCGGCGGGTAGTTGAGGGGCAGGTGGATGCGGGGGCTGTCTCCAGGGGCATCGCTCATCAGGTTGAACTTGAGGGATTTCTGCAGCCCAGCCTCATCCTCATCCTCCACTGGCTTCACAGGCTTCGGGGACTTGCTCTTCTTGCCCTTGCCTTTGTTTCCCTTGGAGGCTTTGCTGCTGGGCTTGGGGGCATATAGGTCCTTGGTTTCCTTCTTGCCAGCCTGGTAGCCACTCTTGGCCTCCCGCTGCCGGCAGTAGCGCACAAGCACTGCCAGGGCAATGAGCAAGGCCACGGCCACCACACCGGCCACCACTCCAAAGAGGATGTTGCCACGTTGTTTGGAGCGCTCATATTCTGGATCCCCAGCGATATCAATGTCCAGTGGCGTGTCCAGGCTGTGGCCCAGCAGGGTCTCCAGAAGGGTGCGGTTGGCCAGGGTCTCATTGACGTAAAGGTGGACCAAGGCCGTGCCATAGCGCGGGGGCTTGCCACGGTCACTGACTTTCACCACCAGGCGGTGTAGCCCGTGATGGCGCCGCTCAATCTCCTTCTCAAGGGTGATGGCCCCTGAATGGGATCCAATCTGGAAGAGTCCGTAAGGGTTGCCACCAGCGATGCTGTAGGTCAACTCCGCATTGACCCCGGAGTCAATGTCCTCGGCTGTCACCTGGCTGACCGTCTCACCAAGACGTGTCTGTGGGGTCAACAGCTGGTGGGAGGTGTTGGAAGGGGCGGTGATGAAGGGTGCATTGTCATTCTCATCCAGCACGTTGATAGTGACACCCACATATGCTGAGCGAGGTGGGACACCCCCGTCCACTGCCTTCAGCTGGAAGGTGTAGGTGCTCTGATGCTCCCGATCAAAGCTCAGGCTGGAGAGGATGGTGCCTGTGCCATTTTGGATAACAAAATCACCATTGTCCTGCTCCACCGTGAGTTGTACCCGGGCGTTCTCCCCTTTGTCCCCATCAATGACGGTTACCATGCCCACTGGACTCAGTGCCGGCATGTTCTCCATCACTGAGAAGTTGTAGCCACTCAGCATAAACTTGGGGTCATTGTCGTTGCAGTCCAGCACATTGACAAGGACGGTGGCTGTGCCCTGCAGGCTGGGACTGCCCCGGTCAGCTGCCACCACCTTTAACTCGTAACTATCCCGCTGTTCCCGATCAAGGGATGTCTTCACCCGGATCTCTCCAGTGTCAGGAGAGATGGTGAAGAGGCCCTTGGCAGCTGGCTCTGGCTCCAGAGAGTAAACCAGCTCCGCGTTAGAGCCTGAGTCGGCATCGCTGGCAGTGACTTCGGCGACCACTTCACCCGGCTTGTTGTTTTCTGGGAAGGCAACCTCAGTGACACTCTGGGTGAACACAGGGGCATTGTCATTGACGTCTACCACCTGCACCTTGAGGGAGTTGGTGCTAGAGAGCGGGGGGTTGCCAGAGTCCACAGCCACAATCTCTATGGTGTAGTCTTTGACCTTCTCGTAATCAAGTGGAGTGGTGGTCTGTAAGAAGTACTTCTTTTTGCTGTCACTTCCCGTCTCACTGGCCTGGCGCAGCTGGAAGGGCACGTCATTTGCCACCACACAGGTGACAGCTGCGTTCTCTCCCTCATCTCGGTCAGAGACCTGCACCAGGGCCACGGCTGTCTCCTCTGCCACATCCTCTGAGATATTAGCCATCCCATCTTGATGGGTCACCAACCCTATGCCCCGGATCTCAATGGTGGGGGCATTGTCGTTCATGTCCTTCACAGTCACCACCACTTGGGCACGGGCACTCTTGGGGTTGGTGCCTCGGTCCTTGGCGAGCACGGAGAAGCGCAGGGTACTCAGGTCCTCGCGATCCACGGGGCCCTGCACAGTGATAAGTCCAGTGTTCCTGTCCAGTCGCAGAAGACGCCTCACCACCTCAGGCGCCTGGTGGAATGTGTAGTCGATTTCTGCGTTGGCGCCTTGGTCCGAGTCATTGGCCTTCACCTACAGGGCAGCGGAGGAAAACAAGGGAAGCCGGGATGGGTTAGTCCTGGGATAATGGGATAGCACATTAAGGAACATGTGTGCTGCCTTTGCAATGAGCATGGCAGATACAATTCGTCTAATGTGGTACCCTTTCCAAAAGCAACACATAGACCAACTGCCCTTTTCCCAACCCCGACACAGGGCAGACGGTACTGATCTTGTTCCCTGAGGAGCACAGAGGCAGCCTGCAAATCTTCTGCTGTGTTACAAGAAACTAGCAGAGATGGGACAGCTCTGCTTACCGTTCCTGTACTGGTGTGCCCCAATCTGGGGATGCGAAGCCAGCTAGCAACTGGGGTAGCCCTTCCACCCAATTAAACGGGCCTTCAACCTTTCCAAAGAGCTGGAAAGGTGTGGCACGTCTGCCTGACGTGAGCACAATACCCATGTGTGCACGTACATGTATTCTGAGACGGGGGGTACGTGTGAATGTGTGAGAAGGTATGTGTTTGTGCATGTGTGTGTTTGCGCACAAGTGGAGACCCACATGCCCACCTGGAGGCCCTAGGGGAGGGAGCTTCGTTCGAAAGCAGTCACGTAGGGATATGGGTCAGAAGGAGCTGGCAAGACCATGGCTCTCTCAAACCGGGGAAACCGGTTTCAGCATCTTCTCCTCTGGCTGGTGCTGGCTAGGCACCAACTTGAGGAATCTGGGCAGCTGAGTCTGCGGCCGGGAGGGAGGGGCTGGTGTGGGCCACAGAGCCTGCTGGCAGCGGGCTGGGCTCCCAGCATCAAACAATGAACTGTCTGTCCCTTTGCAGTGGGCACGCCCTCCCACGCCAACGCCGACGCACACTCGGCCCAAGTCTATACAAACACGGGTGGTGATGGGGCAGCGGGAACCTGGTGGGAATGGGCATGAGGTACCACTGGTAAGGGAGAAGTGGGTGTGTGGGGGGGAAATGGGGAGGACAGGACAGGTATAACCTGGCAGAATCTCTCAGAGACACAGCAGAAGAGTTCTGGGTTCAAATCCCAGCTCTACCACTTCCTAACTATGTAACCTTGGGCCAATTACTCCATCACCCCAAGCCTCAGTCTACAAATGTATAAAATGGGTTAATAATAGAACCTATTTCATAGGGCTGTGGTGAGAATTAAATAATACTTGTAAAAATGCCTAACACTGCCTAGTATGTGGCAAGTGCTCCCTAAATAGCATTTATCCCTCCTTTCATCCACCCATCACCTGTCCATCTCTGAAAATCAGTGCTAACACAGTGCTAGGCACCATGTCTAGTGGGGCCTCATACCACTGCTAGTCTCCTCTCCTTCCTGTTGGGAACCAGAACTTGTTCAACAGTGGAGACATCTGGGCAGGGCATCCTAGTTATTCTGGGCCTTTTTCACCTCTGTGAGAGCCAAACTGTTTCTTCTCCTCACCCCGCTGTCCCCAGTCCATCTCTCTGTCACCTACCTTTCCCTTGGGATTCCCACTTCTCCCTGTCTCTAGACTGCTCACCTGGCTTCTTACTCACCTCTCTTACCATCTTACCTCCCTTTGTCTCTGTGACTCTTCACTTCTGTCCCTGTTTCCCTCCCCGCCTTGCTCAGCTCTTTCTGCGTCTCTCCCATCCTCTCTTTTCTGCTCCTTCTCAAACCCCATCTCTGCCCACTCTTCTGCTTCGGCCCCCTGGAAGGGGGTGTAGCTGTTACACACACAGGATTCAGAGTTTGAAGCCGGGCTGTTGGACATAGCCAGAGTGGGATGTGAACACAACAGCTGGGGACACCAGGCATCAAGTTTCCAAATCTCTGTGGGCTCAGTTTCCCATCGGTGAAATGGGGATAATGCTTACCTTGAACTGTGAGGATTCCATGACATAATACACATAATGTGTTCTGAACAGTGCCTGGCACCCAGGCTGTTATTATTCACCATCTCCGACTGTCTGTCTCCCTTTTCTTCCACAGACTCCCTTCTACATGTTCAAGTCCACCAGCCTCTAAAAAAAAGCCTAAAACTCCTCCCCACGCCCCACTTCAGTTTGAGGACATAGAATGAAGGGTTTCCCAGGACCATAACGGTGTACAGGGCAGGCTGAGCCCTCCTCAGCTCCCTCACTTCAAAGACAGACAGCTTCAGCCCAGGGGGAAGGAGAAAGGAGCTGGGGCTGGCAGGAGGCCAGGGCTGAGATGACAGCGGGAGATACGCCCACCTGTCTGCAGGGACGCTTTCTTTGCTCCCTCCCAGGCCCTGGCCCCACCAAGCTGTCCAGCCCCTGGGGCAGTTCCCATGGAGAGGGGTGCTGAGAACTTCAGCAGAGGCAACCGACCCCCCACTGTGCCAAGCACCCCATACTCACGAGCACCCTTGCCTAGGGAAGGAAGCTGGTGTACAGAGAGGCATCTGAATGCAGTTTTCTAGAACTCTGAGGACTCACTTGGCTCAAATAATCTCATCTGACTGTCAGGGAGAAGCAAAGAAAGGGTCTGTCCTCTAGCTTCAGGAAAAGTCTGGTCTGGCTAAGGGGCTGCTGGTGGGGAAGATATTCTCACCTCTGGAGAGAGTGTTCTTATTCCAACTTGGCTGACCTCGCTGGAGAGGAGGATATCATTTGACTTGGGAGGGGGTTTCACTTCTCCGAAGTTTCTCCAGTTTGAGTCTGATTTGAGGATGAGGGGACTACTATTCCTACGCTGTCACTCTCACTAAGTAGCTTTTTTTTTTTTAAAGATTTTATTTATTTATTGGAGAGAAAGCAAGAGAGCATGAACATGAGTGGGGAGAGTGGGCAGAGGGAGAGGGAGAAGCAGATTCCACACTGAGCAGGGAGCCCAACAGGGGGCTCGATCCCAGGACCCTGGGATCATGACTTGAGCCAAAAGCAGCTGTTTAACCAACTGAGCCACCCAGGCGTCCCTCACTAAGTAGCTTGATAGAGGGCAATAATATCACCTGCTGGGATAGGAAGGTCTCACCAGATCACAGTACCCTCGCAGTTTACCCCTGAGTGAAGGGAACTCTCACCAGCCCTGGCCAGGCTCCCATTTCCTGAGGTGGGAATCCTGACAGTTAGATGGAGGGACCTCTCACCTGGATGACCGAGTGGCCTATGGGGCTATTCTCGGACAGTTCAGCCTCGTAGGAGGGCCGCTCGAACTTGGGGGCGTTGTCGTTGGTGTCAAGCACAGTGACGCGCAGCAGGGCACTGCTGGCACGTGGGGGGCTGCCGCCATCCTGCACCTTGATAGTGAGGTCATAGGAATCCCAGCGCTCCCGGTCTAGGTTGCCCATCACGATGAGCTGTGGCTGCTTCCCCTCCTGGTCCTCTGCCACCTGAAGCCCAAACAGCTCCTGGGCCTCAGGCCCGGCCTGCAGCTCGTAGGATGCCACACCGTTGGGGCCGGTGTCGCGGTCAGAAGCCACCGGGATGGGGAAGAGTGAGCCAATGTTGGTGTTCTCAGGGATGGGTAGTGTGATGACTGGCGAGGCGAAGTTGGGCGTGTTGTCATTGATGTCCTGTACCTCTATCTGGCCCTCTAACAGCCGAGGACTGCCGTTCTGCACGAGGTCCGTAATAGATACCTCAAACTCCAGGATGCAAGGCTCACCAGGGAGCTGGTTCTGGCATTCACGGAGCCCCTCACGGTCAATAGACGTCTCGGTGGTGAAGATGTCTCCCGTCTTGCCATCCACCCGCAGGTATGGGGCGCCTACCTCTAGTTTGTACAGGTGGCCCACGTCTGGAAAACCATAGTCCGCAGCAAGGCTCCCAATGAGGGTGTTGGGTGGCTGCTCCTCCGGCACCTTGTACACCACCCGAGTGGCATGGCCTGGGGATGCCGCCAGCAGAAGCAGCAGTGCCAGCGGCAAGGGGGACAGCAGCAACCGTTGCCCCCCGGGGCCTGGGCTGGGCCTCGGGGGCCCCATTCTGGCAGGATCTAGAATCAGGAGGGCTGCAAGGAGAAGAGGCAAAATAGGAGGTCAGCTGGGAAGAGGAAGCTGGCCCTGAGGGTTGCCCAAGCCAGGTCCTGACTCCCCTTCTGCCATCTATACACTATCTCACAAAGAGAGCTCAGCCCCAGCCCAGAACCCCGATTCCAGAACCCAGAACCCTGAGTTTCACTCACAGCTGGGTGTAGCAGCAATGTCTGCCCCAGCTGGAGGAGCCGGTAAGGGCCCAGAACAGGTCTAGAGTAGCTCCCGCCCATGGAACGCCCTGACCCTGCTGACACTCCCTCCTCCCTGCTCTCTCTCCTGTGCTTTGCCCAACACCTCCTTCTCACCAGCATCTTGCCTTAGTCACCCATGGTAATTACCCTGATACCGAGATACGGAGAGACAGCAAGTGGAAGGGTAAGCCCTTAAGCACCCCCCACATACATGATAGGAAAGAGATATAGGCACTCTTTATGTTCCCTGGACCCCATGCTGAGGGCCACTCAGGATGGCTGGAGGGAGTGGGAAGGCGTCTCGTTTCTTTTCCTTCGGAGATGCTGGCCAGTATATGCGTATGAGATATGACATGTCAAATCCCTCTTTTCTGACGGTAATCACCCAGATTGCCCAATGCCCCCACCCCCATGAAGGGTCAGCTTAAACTAGGCACCCATCAAGGCTTGGAAACAGAGCTGAAGTGTAGGAGTCAGCCACCCACCTCCCCCGAAGCACACTGCCCCCAGCTCTGCCCCCAGCTGGGTTCCCAGGACTCCTCCTCCTCCCTTCCTGCGCTGTTTCCACCAGGGGTGGGGAGGTAGGGGGAGGGAGACACTGACGGGTGTGTGGAAGAAGAGTGCAGAGTTCAAGATTGGGGTCAGGACTGTGGTCAGGGCTGACTCGCCCTGGAATTGGCATTGGGAGCTGCCCTAGCCTGTCCTTAGCAACTGTGAGCCCAGCAGGTCTAACTGGGACGGTGCTGCCAATGCCACCACCAGCCTGTTCCTGACCACTCCCCTCCAAGTAGGCTCCCAGGCTCTCAGGAAACATCTGGCCCCTGTCTCATACCTTGCCCCTCCCCCTTTGACGTGTCCAGTCCCATCTCTGACGGGTTTCTCTGTGCCCACCCCCATATCCTTCCAACTGGAGCCCTCTATGCCATAGCCAGCCACAAGCTGCGCCCTGCACCCCAATAACCCACTTCTCCCTCATCTCCCCCACCCCCCAGCTTTGAGGCAATGCACCTGCAGACCCCAGCCAGCCCTGCTGCTGTCCCAGTCTGGATCCCTTCCTTCTCTCCAACAAAGCCATGGCCAGCCCCTCTATTTAAATCCAAAGTCAGGCCCTGCATTTTCAGCAGAGGGCTCAGGCTCACTCTCCGTCCCCCACCTCCCCACTTGCACCTGAAATACCTGACATCCCCCCCCCTCCGAAATCCTACCCATCCTTGTCAGAGACCACACCTACCCCACTGAAGGCAGCCCCTAATCCCCCAGGAAGCCTTCCCAGGCCTCTCCAGCCTGCTGTGACCTCTCCTTTCTCCAACTCACAGCCACTATTGTCTGCCCTAGTCCCAAGGCAATGAATCACTGAGCTGCCTGGACCCCGCCCACCTGCCAGTGTTGTTCAACCCCAGTACTGTGCACCTACCTATTCCTGCGTTCTCTGGCTCTCCAGACAAATGCCAGACTTCCTGAAGGTAGGGCCAGACTCTCTCTACTCATTCCCCTGCCCCAACCCACGCATGTTCACAGAGCTGGGCACCATGCATTCAACAAATGTTTACTGTGCACTTACAATGTGTGAGGCAATCTCCTGGACACTGGGACACAGCAGCATACAAGATAGACTCAATCTGCTATCATGGACCTCACAACCATTCTAACTCAATGACTATTTGTCATTTTTGTTTGGTTGTAATCATTTGGCACATGGAAGGAATCAGGGTGGAGAAGACATCAGACTATCCATTTCCTGGATGCTGAGCAGGAGAACAATGATTTAGGGCCTCAGTTTCCTTATCTGTAAAATGGGAACAACACCACCTATTTCCTAGGGAGTTTGAGATCACATGGGCTAAACGCCTAGCGCATACTTTAAGTACTCAACAAATGCTCCCTCACAGCACTTATAATTGAAGTTATGTAGCTGTTAGATGGGAAATAATTTGTCAGTTGTCTTTCCTACAAGATTGAGCAGAGATGAGAGCCTCTGCTTTGTTCCTACAGCCTCAGGACCCTGCTCTGGACCTGGCATACAGTAAGCACTCAGTAAGAGTTCCTGAAAGACAACTGTAGCTCTCAGGTTTAGCCTATCCTGGCACTTTCTGGGTGGTCACTGATTATTTCCTTGCCCAATTCCCTTATTCCATCAAGAACCTACGGGCGTCAAATTTAATCCTTCTCTTTTTAGGACCATAGCTGACTCTCAGCAAATGCTCAATGAACACAGATTCCTTACAACTTCGAACACTTCACTTCTTCACATAGCACTCCCAAACCACACCTCCTCCCCGGTCTCTTCCTGCCAGTAAAGTGCCCTACGTGTCAGAGGCTGTTATCAGATTAGTGTTGTGCTTGTTCCTAGTTGCAATCTTAATCTCTTTAAAGGAAGGAAAAATTTATCGAATGATCCAAGTGGATCCACCCTCCAGCCACTATCCATCTACCTGCACAGATCTGGCACAAGGCTCCTCTTACTTCTAAGCTCCAACCTAAACACACCCCCGGGAGGACGGTCTCCAGGGAACCTCAATACCTTCTGGGCACCTTAGCCTGCCTTCCCTCCATGGCAAACACAGAGTGGGTCACTCCACACACCAATTCCACGCCTAAGTCTTGGCAGGGTGGGGGATCTATGGGAATTACCCTAAACCTGACACAGAGGAGAAATAAGGCAGTGACTGCTTGCTTCCCTCACTCTCTCCAGAACACAGATTCTTAACCCTTTTAGATCAAGCCCCCTTTATGAATTTTATGAAACAATGGGACAGATTTTTCCAAGAAAAATGAATGCTCACAAATTTTGGCTGTAAATTCAGAGGTCTTGGTCTGACAGAGTCAGGGTGACTGATTTGTAGCAGCTCCAAGAGCTACAGATTAAGCCCATTCTTCCACCTCTCGGGGTCACAACCCAGGGCTCTAACCCCTCAGGCCTCCCAGGCAGCACACACGCTAGAAGCCCCCCCACCCCATACACACTCTTTTTCTGTCTCACTCATTCACCCTGTCACCCTCAGGACATCCCTTACCTCCAGCCAGCAGAGGAATCAGGAAAGGATTATGGTGTACAACTTGGAGTCAGAAAGAGGACCACAGAGAAATATCCAAGGCCAGGAATGTATGGGGAAGAGGGTGTTTCCAGGAGGTAGGAATTTGGGGGAACATGGGTTTGGAGGGGTGGCTACCCAGAGTGCGGGCAAGAGCTGAAGAATGTTTAAGGCCCATGAAGCACCTAGAACGTTCCTTTAAAATGAGTATTATCTGCCCCCACCAATTCTGATTCTGGGGGAGGGACCTGGAGAAACCCCCAGGCAGTAGGGTGGAGGCAACAGGATGCACTATCAGGAAAAGACTAACTCTGAGATGTGCTAGGTCCCTGGAGTTGAGAAAGAAGTGCAAATTCTACTGTCACCTTTGCCATCATCATCACCGTCATCATTGTCGTCATCCCAGCTAACAATCCCTGAGATTTTACTCCATTTACATGCACTATCCATTCTAACCCTCCCCACCCTCCGAAGTGGGTACTTTATTATTACACTGCTCCCCATTGTGCAGATGAGAGGCTCAGAAAGAAACACGAACTGTCTCAGGTCACAGAAGGAGTAAGCAGAGTCAAGATTTGAGAAATAAGAATGCCTCTTCTCATCCAGAGTCTGGGGAAAAGTCTGGATGGGGGGGAAAGAAAATCCAGAGAATTATCAGAGGCTAGAATATGTTGGCTAAGTAGCCCCCCACCCTCACCACCCCATCCCTGCGCTGCCAAACTTGCCTGGCAAGGAAAGAGAGGGCTTAGGGTTCAAGGGCTGTACAAACCCAGCCTGAAGCTGTCCCCTCCCCCACCCAGAGGCCCCGGGGATGCAGGGACACAGTCAGAGGAGCCAGGAGCAGCAGTGAGGTAGCCCTCCCTTACCCCTGCCCCCACCATCCCTGAACTTTGCCCAGGTATGGTTGCTTATGGAGAGTCATTAGTCTTCAGGCACCTTCTGAAGCCATTAGCTTTATCTGCCCTTGCCCAGGCCCTGGCTGCCTTCCTGACAAGGGTGTCCCCACCTCTGCCCAGTGACATAGGCACCCAGGGCCCTGAGAAGCAGAGCTGCAGCTCGCACAGTGACTCATTCTTCTCAGGCCTGAGGAGAGCAGTGAGGTGTAAGGGGACAGAGTCCAGGGAGGGCCAAGGAAACCGCCATCTGTGTCAACATGTTAGAGAGGGGGAGAGGATAGCAGTGAGGGTTCACCCGGAACCTTCTTTACCAGCCCACCTCAGGGACCAGGGTCCACTTTCTGCTGAATGCCAAAATACCCAGAGGCAGCCATCCACATCCCAGAGACCAAGTCAGCTGTGACCCCCCCCCCTCCCCCCCCCCCCCCCACCCCCCCGCACTGTTGCACAACAGCCACTGCCACCGTGGCTACAAAAACCAAAGGACAAAGCCAACCTCTGGGAGAGTAGGGTAAGCCTTAGTGGAGCTGTGCAGAGTGGGGCTGTGCGGAGTGGAGCTGTTCAGAGGCTTCCCACAGTGAACATGTGCATGGCCCTCAGCTCCTCTCCCTGCTCTTGCACAACCCTCTATTAGCATCTGCAGGGCTTCTAGGCACCTGCATGCTCGAGTCAGAATGCTGGGGATCAAACCCTTGCTCCACCACTTCCTAGCCATGTGACCTTGGCCAGGTGGCTTCACCTTTCTGAATCTGCTTCCAGATCATGAAATGGAAATAATCAGTTCTGCCTCTTGTTAGTTATTTGGGAGATGAGATCCATGGCATTCAGATCTATTATATTGTAAAGGACCAGTGCATATATAAAATAACTGAACAGGGCTTTTTTCTTTATAAATTATTTTTAAATTTTTTTAAAAAAGATTTAATTTATTTATTTGACAGACAGAGATCACAAGTAGGCAGAGAGGCAGGCAGAGAGAGAGGGGGAAGCGGACTCCCTGCCAAGCAGAGAGCCTGATACGTGGCTCGATCCCAGGACCCTGGGATCATGACCCAAGCCGAAGGCAGAGGCTTTAACCCACTGAGCCACCCAGGCGCCCCATGAACAAGGCATTTTATTCCCAGCACCAGGCACACAGTAGGTGCTCGCTGGTTCAGTAAGTAAATGAACCCCATCCCCTGCTAGTTGGGAAGACCTTGGAAGACAAGGGTGGTATGTGTCTTACCACTGTGCGGCATCCTCACCCCCCACTATGGGCCTGGGCAGATAGAGCCAGCAGGTGCTCAAGACATTGTTGAAAGAATCTCACCCTGCAGCACCAGCCATCCTTGTTCAGGGTAGGGGCAGCCATACCATCTCACAAGGGCCTCCCCCATGTCCTACCCCCACCACCAGGCCCTCTCCTGGTGCTTCCAGCCCACTCCTCCCAGCAGTTAGCTCACTGTCTCTCTCTAGCCCAGATCCCCTGACCAAGTAGCCACACTAGCAGCCCCTCTGCCAGGAAGAGGCCAGACCAGCAACACACCCTCTTCCAGCTGAAGTCCCTCTGGGAATCGGCTTGGGGGAGACGGGAAACTAAAGGCTGCCAGAACTGAAACCAGATCTGCTCCCCTACTACACTATCGCTGCCTGTCTTCAGAGGCCCTTCTCACCCCTCTTCGCTGATTCCATTCCATGCCCTGGTCTAGTTGTAATTACAGATTTCAATCCTCCTAGACCTCCACATCAAGAAAATAACCCCTACCTCTAGGCTGTCACAAGCACCTTCTAAGGGCACCCTCTTTTCTGGCAGCTATGGAAGGTTGGCTCAGAGCAGGTAATGGTAGGCTCCCTCTGTCTTTCAGCACGGTGTCCTGGACTCCGTGGCCGCTGGGGCAGCCCCCTGTCTACACCGCTGTGGTCAGCGGGTGGTCCCCGCACACGCCCAGAGCATGGGCTTCTCCTCCCAGAGGATGCAGTAGTGTGTATGGGGGGGGGGGGCACTGTTCCTCCACCAACCTCGGACTCGGGCGGCCCCACCCCCACCCCAGCGACACAGGCCTCCCAGAGCTCAAGGCGAGGTGGGGGTGCGGTGAGAACCTTGGCCAGTAGGCCCCCTGCGCCTCCTGCCCCCAAGGGCCGCCACGGGGAATCCCTCCTCCACCGCATCTCGGCCCACTGCCTAGGGTCCCCAGCAAGCGAGCGTCGGCGGGAGCCAAGCGGCGGGCGCCGGGAGGGGGCGGGGAGGGAGCCGGCGCCGGAATCACAAAGCGTGGCGAGCCAGGCCGGGTGGGGACATTCTCAAGAAACGGACCCTCTCACGGCTAGCGGAAAGGGGTCTTTGCCCCGCACTCAATCCTCAAAGACCTCAACGCTACACCGAATATTTCCAGCTAGAAGAAACAGTGGCCAATCACTGCTGGGGAAACTGAGGCCAGAAGTCTGGGCTCCCGAGGGTAGCTGAGTCCACCTAGCCTGCCAATTCTGCTCCAGCGCGAGCCGAGATCTCCCTTCGGGCCCCAGGGCTTTGCGGGTGCACGCGACTCTGGCCTACAGCGGGCACCTGGCGGAAGGGGCGTCCAGGTGTGTGAGGGATACAGGTGTGCGGGACCCAGGTGTGCTGGGGCCCCAGGTGGCTCTCAGAACGCAGCTAAATGGCCCGAAGAGGGTCGCAAACACCTCCTCAGGCTCCACTCCCTGCAAAGGGACCCACGGCCTTGAAGCCCAGGGGAGCCGGGATGGCGCGGCCTGCCAGTCCAGCCAGTTCCGGGAATACCCGGCCGGGCCCGGCCCCGCAGTGGGGGTGGGGGAGACGCAGGCGGGGAAGCCGGTCCGGCCAGCCCCCAGGGTTCCCGCGGCGCTGATAGTCACAATAACAGTGTCTTGATTAAGATGAAGGGACGCTAGGGGCTCGCCCGACCGCCCCTCATCTTCCCAGAACGCAGTCTGGCCTCTGAGGGAGAGAGAGCGAGCGTGTGTGTTTGTGTGTATAGGCTGCAAGGTGTAAATGTGACACTGTTGGTGTAAGGTGTGTGACACCCAGTGTTAAGATGTGTGAAGCAGTGGATTCTGTGTTCTCGCCCGTGAGGCGCCGCTGTAGGTTCTACTTTCTGTGTTAGGGTGTGTGCTGTCAAGGCGTGTGCTGAGACACTGGGGTTGTGTTTATGTGGGTGGGGGGGAGCAAGCGAGACCTGTGTTGTGCATCTGTGTTCTGGCCAAGGAGTGGGTAACATAATTCATGTTAGGGTGTGTTCCTTAAAGGAATATGTACGTGCGAGGTTAGGTTTTGAGTGTTCATTTGCGAACTGTGGCCGCGACTCTCATACATGAGGGCACGGGATTGTGTTTGTGTGTCTGTGTCGCCAAATGTCACACTCGGTTGTGTTCTGTTGCTCTGTTAGGGCCACGGGTTGTGTGTCCGTGCTGCTGAGTGTGCAGACGCTGAAGCGGATTCTGAGCTAGTGACGGTGCCCCAGTGGGCGCTGGTGTGCGGGAGGTGTGTGTGCTGTGTGCACATATGTACGGATGTATGTATGCGTGAACGTATGTCCGTGGTCTGGCCCTCTGGGCACCCGCGGGGAGCTGGAAGCGCCTGAGTGATCCGATCTGGTCGCCCAACAAGTGTGTGTGTGCGTTGTGTACGAGGGTCCTTGCCGGCTTCGTCCCCCCCTCAAACTGGGGGTTGCGCGCTTCCCCCAACCACCTCCATTCGGCGCGCTCCTAGAGTCTCCTTATTCCCCGTGGCTTCAAACGCGCAGGGGCGCGGGACGCCACGGCAGAGGTCCGGTTCAGCAGCCCCTCTCCTCTCTCGGTTTCTCGCCACGGACTTTGGAGGCCAGGGTGCCCCGACCTCCACCCCCGGTCCGAGCTCCCAGCCGCCCCCACCTCAGCCCAGCGCGCTGAGCACCGCCCGGGCCCTCGTGGCCTCGCTCCGCTGAGCGCCCCTCCCTCAGCTCCCGCCGGCTATGGCCGCTCCCGAGCGGGAGCCACCGCCGCTGCCTCCACCGCCACCGGATCCTTACCCGCCTCGGGGCAGCGCCGGCCGCCGGCCCTGCTGACCATGAGCCGCCACCGGCCCCGGCCCGGGCTGCGGCTTGGCACGGCTCGGGCTGGCGCTGCGGTTCAGGCTCCGGCTCCGGCTGGCTCTGGGCACAGCAGCCCCGGCGGCTTCGCGTCCGCTCCGCGCTCCCGCTCCCCGAGTGTGTGAGGCGGCGGCGGCGGCGGCGGCGGCGGCGGTGGCGGCGGAGCCAGCAGCGAGCAGAGCGCACAGCCCGGCCCGCCCCCTCCCTCCCCCCTCCCTCCTGGCCCGCCTGCCCGCCTCCCTCCCGCCTCCCCGCCCTCCCTACCCCCCAGCCCCGGCCGGGAGGTGGAGCTCGGGACCGCTCTGGTCCCTCTGGGAGGGGACCCCACGCACCGCTCCCCAAAGCCACGACCCCCTTCGCTTTCTCCTCACTACCCGGGACCCGGATACACAGGCTGTCCCCCTCCCTGGCTCTTCACCTTGCACTTATGGCACGCGAGCCCCATCTGGGACCCCTCCTGAATTCCGTTCCTAACCTCACTCAAACACCTGTCCCCTACCCTGCCTCTTTGGAAGTCGGGCGGGGGAAACGTCTTCCCCAGTGCCTTCTTCCCTGAAGGGCATCTGCTTCTCCACATCCACCTTCTTCCCGCGCAGACCCCCAGATCAACCCATGTGGCCCTCCCTTCCCACTGCGCTCCAGGGAAGTCCACCCCTCCCCCTCTGGCCGAAGCCGCAGAGCGGTCAGCCTCGGTGGCCGCAGCAAGCCGTGGGGGTGGGGCTATGGAGGGGGCCTTGGGAGGAGGAGGGTAATGGGAAGCGGGGGCTCCCCTAGAATGAGGATGGGGGTAATATACAAGAGTGAGAATGAGGTGACACGCCAGAGCTCGGGCTTTTCGAGGGTCTCCCTGTCACCTGCCCTCAGGGCGGGACGGAGCTGTGGCCCCTCGTATTTACCGGTGACATACACACATTCACAGACTCACACGGGCCCCTGCCCCACGAGGCCGCGCAGTGTCACGGCCTGTGTCACACGCCCTCACAGTGCCACACGCTCCCTGTCACACTCACACTCACCGAGTCACACACGGTGTCACACGCCGTGTCTCACACTCCGATTCTCGGTTTCTCCAGCTCAGCTCTGGCTCTCTGGTGCCATCTAGAGGCCTCTGAGCAGCTTGGGTACTCCCTTTCCTGCGCTCAGGGTTTGGTAACCCAGGCTACAAAATGCTCCACTTCAATATGACCTCCTGCCTTTTGCCACATATAGGCCTAGCCAGGGTGTTCTCGGTCGTAAGAATGAGGAAAGCTATCCCTGGCAAGGCCTGGCACTGGGTCTGGAAAGGCCTATTGCGGGATGACTGGTTGCTGGGCCTGTATTTGTCATAGCCTCTGTCTCTTTCCTGACCTCCCCCATTTTCCCATCCCTACTGCTCTTTTATTCCCTCTTTCCTTTTTCTCCCCTCCTCCCCACCTCTCTGTGGAACACTCTTCAGAGTAAGGTGGGATCTCTGGCCAGTTGAAGGGGTAAGCAAGAACTGCCCAAGATCTCTTACAGAGCAGCTCCCCTCAACCAGCCTCCCTTTCTGGCCTGGGCCCTGTTTTAGTCCCTACTCCCAGCCCTCAACCCCAGAAGCCCATGTGGGAGGTTCTGGGTGGGAGATGGGGTGAATTAGTAAAAGGAGGATCTGTCTTGTAAGTGGCTTCTCTATCACTGTCCCCTGCAAAACTCACACTCTGCTCATCATTGAGCACAGCTCCAGGGAAGAAATCAGTGGCCCAGAGAGAAGAAATCTTCCACAGAGTAACTGCCCCATCCTCCCTGCCCCCAGCATGTGCCCACTGCCCACTGCAGCAAACCCTCCCCAGTTGGCTTGCTTGGAGCCATTCAAAGGCTCCTCTGTTCTCATTCCTTGCTCAGGACTGAACAAGATAGGCAGCCGCAGAGCTGGGCAGGAAATGCTAATTTCCCAGATGTTCTCCTCAGTCCTCCCTGCTCCACCACCATCAAACCCAAATCCTGCACCAAGTGGTAGGAGCAGAACTAGGCCAGAGCAACACAGGGTGTGTCTACTCTTCTCCCTGCTCCCCATCTCCTCTTACCCCTGCTGCCAGGCTAGGCTCTGGGTGGGGGATGGACCTAAGCCTGGGGCAATGTAGATATAGGAATGGTACTGTGTTCCCCAGAAAGAAGGGCAGGCAAAGGGCAGAGACTAGGAGAAGGCATCTGAAGAGGAGAGAAGCCAGGCTCCTGGCCTCATACCAAACTGGGACCTGGTTGGCAAGTAGAACACTGTGCACTGGGGGCTCCTGGAAGTGATGCTGCCTGAGATTTCAGCTGAGATTGTTGCCAGGGATTGGAGCCTGGGGGATGCTACGTGTGGAAGCGGTTGGTATTCTCATGCCTGTAGGCTCTTGCTGTGATACATGTGTACCTGGGATGGGCTCTGGCTAAGAGGACTAGGGTCTTGGAGGGCCTGGCACTGTAACAGTAAGGATGTTGTTTCTGATGGCAGCTCAAATACTGTTGCAATGCTACAATGCTGGTGTGCATGGGCTGTAGTCTGAACAACAACCAGATTACCAAAGAGTCTGTTGCAAGCCATGTGTGCACATGTGTGTGTTCATGTGTGCATTTTGAGGGGAGGGCTGAAATTGAAATGCCATTGGGCCTGGAGCTAAAAGTGTAAGCTTTGCATCCCTGAGAATGGCTACAGCAAAGAAGCAGTTCTCCAATAATATGACGTAGGTGAGCTGTAGCTGGAGCCATTGCCTAGGTCCTAGGAGATGAGAGGCTGTTGCTAGGAGCCTATACCTGGGAGGAAGTCTGTTATCTGGGATAAGAGCAAAGCTACTGTTGTGTATACGACTGTAGCTGGGATGCTATTGGTCCCGAAGCAACAGCTGTGATGACAGCGTACCAGGGATTGGCTATAGCTAAGATGCTGTTGCCCAGGCTGCTGGCTGTGCTGTTACTGTGTGCAGGATTCTAGCTGGAATGCTGTTATGCCCGCAGCCATACCTCTGAAGCTCAAGTGTAGCGGGGAGGCCATTTCCTAGTAATATGGCTGGACCACTGTTGTGTGGGGGCCATAGCCCAGACTCTGTTGCCTAGGAGACGGGAAGCTGTTCCCCGGGATGCTGTTCTGGGAGGCAGCATGCAACCTGAGATGGGACTGATCTGTTGGAGCTGATCGACTGTTGTGCTTGGGATGGTTCTGAGTGTCTGTTGCTGCACTTGGGGCTGGCTGGGTGGGGGAAGGCAAGCAAATTCTGCCTTGAGGTCTGGGAGATGCCAGGAGCCGGAGGCTGGGCGGGGGCTGCCGCTCTGGGGAGGCTTCAGCAGCTGCTCTGCCGTGGAGCTGGGAAGCCTGTTTTCATTACTGTTTTAACTCTTTTTTTAACCTTGTTTTTCTCTCGGCTGCACTTTCGCTCACTCATTAATTTTGGTATTTTTCTCACGGTGCCTCAGCCCCTGTCACGGCTGCCATGGCAACAGGAGGCAGTGTGCACAGCGCCAAAATATCTGATCAAAAAATAACCAAAATAAGCAAACACCAAACTGGCTGCGCTAGGGGCTATGGCCAAGAGAGAGCCCATGGCTTGGGTCCAGGAAAGCCAGGGCTCCTAAGGGACCCCTTTCACTCCCCCCACTTCCCCAGGGAAGCTTTGCTGAAACTCCTGATAACCTGGGAAGCTCCTTTCCAAGAGACATCGCCCCACCCCGGCCACATTCTCCCAAGACTCTGAGACTTCCAGTGGTCGCTCCCCACTAGGCAGCTTTGCCTGCGGTGGAAGCATGGGGAGGGTGTGAGGGCTAGTGCTCTCTTCCCAGGACCTGACAGTCAAGCCCCTAAGAAGTTCCCTACTTGCCCTAGGCATACACATCTACACCCACGGACTCACCCTTCTCCTCACCCCTCCTTCCTCAGGCTTCTTTCACCTTCTCTGCTCCCAACCCCTACTTGGCCACCTCTACTTTATTCTCATACCCCAGCATCCTGACTGGATGGATGGGGGGCAGGGAGCTTCAGCCTTCAGGCCTGCTGCCCCACAACTCAGTAGAGGTGCTAGGGAGGGATGCTATGTAAGTATCCAACACTCCTAGGACTGTGGCTACCTCTAAGTCCAGCTGCCTGTGGGTGATTCCTGAACAGCCCTGAACACCCACACTGCTCCAATTTCCACTCCTCTTTCTTGTGAGTCTCTGGTTTCCTGGGGGCCACATTCTCTCAAGTGAACATGTCCACAGAAGAGGTGAAATGATAGGGCCTCGTGTGAAATAGGAAGGGGCAGAGATCTTGGTATTACCCATCTCCTTTCCTTTTTCACCCACTCATTTTCCTTCTGAGGGGTCCTTCTAGATGTCTGCAGCACTGAGAACTGGAGGAACAAGGAGCTCCCTGACTCTCCCTCAATCACATCATGCAGTTATATCTCTGGCTGCTCTTCTTGATGTTCTCTCCCCCAACAGTGAGTTTGGTTTTCAACAGGTCTCTGTCCCTACCTGGGAATGGCTGGAACTCACCTCCTGCTCTTTACTTTCAATTCCTGCCCCCTGCCACCCCCTCCTCCCAGCAGTACTGGTCTTGCCCTCCCAGCAGAGCCATCCTGGGCTTGTTTCTATAGAAACTGGGTAGTCTCTGGAGTGTGGGAAGGGGAGGGGAGACAGGAGCAGGGAGGAGGGACCAGACCCCAGGGCCAGCCCTGTCCGAAGGGAGGATGGGATCCTGATTTGGGAAAAAGAGAAAGGAGGTAGCAAAAGCTTGGTAGGTTCTGTCCCCACGCAGCTTGCTCTGCTGCCTCCTGAGGAGGGGACACCCAACTGTGTTCTCCCTGGCAAGGGAAGGGAGATTCCTCTCTCCCCAGCCCCCTAAAATCCTTCTTTAATGGGAACTGCCTGATCCAGGAGAAACTCTTTCCCAGAGCCACCACTCTCTAAGACAGGGACCATAGGATACCTTCCCTCCTCTAAGAGCTCCACACTAGCTCAAGCTTAGTGGCTCCAATCTCTGGAGGCTGGGCGGCCCTGGGACCAGTG